TAGTTAGCTTCTTTCTTTTTTCCCAAAGTAATTATCGTTATTTTTATGAAAAAAAAAATTTCGGGCTGAAGCCCCTCCCAAAAATAAATCCTGGATCCGCTAGTGACGGCAATATCATCAGCAAAAGCTGTTAGCGTGGCATTTTGGTTGTTGTTACAATTCTTCTTGTGTTCATAAAAAAAAAGTTTTTTTTTTTTGTTTGTTTTTTTTTTATGAAATCTTCCAAATTTTCACATAAAAACTCTATTGAACCCTTTCTCCTCTTCTCCATGCTTCAATTCGTTTTTTTTTTTTGTTTTTTTTTACGACGTTTCAAGTAATTTTTCCCATTTATATAATATAATCATTGTATATATATATATATATATATATATATATATATATATATATATATATATATATATATATATATATATATATATATATATATATATATATATATATAGGACGAAAATGATAGCATTTGATGGAAATTTTTGGACAAAACTTGTAGCAATTATATAAAAACTAATATAATATACAGGATAAGATAATGATAAAATGGGCAAAATTGCTTAAAACCGTCGAAAAAAAAATTAATTGAAGCATGGAGAAGAGGAGAAAGAGAAAAGTATTGGTCACGGTATCGCACTTTGCAAAACTCCACACATGGGATTTGTAGGACAAGAAATATGCTCGACAACTTTTCCTGATAAAGATCACTCGCACAAAATTGATACAATTATCGATTGTTTCAAGGGGTATCATAGTGGTTAATGGCCTTATTTCTGTTGCAAGAAAAGTCGCTAGGTTGCAGCCACACTAAGCAGTGCTCTATACTTAGTAATTCTTGAAATCCCGTTTGTTCTATTGGAATAATTTCATTTTATGTACAAAACGTCCTGTCCTCCGAAGTATTACTTTTAAGTGTTTGTATGAAACAAATATTAATTATTTTCTGGTCTTTTGATTGGAAGTAAGGTAACAAACCCTTTCTTATTTTTGATTTTTTCGCCGTAATAATTTTTTTTTGCTCGTCCAAAGAAATAAGTAGTTTATCATCCTCTTAAAGTATGATTGAATTTAAGTTCTCGTAGAATTTTCAACTACCTTACAAAATTTAGGGTGAAATCAAATTAAGAATATTGACTGATGGTACAAGAACCAAAGGTGATACTGGAAAGAACATCAGAATGGTGGTCTCTACTGAATTGAGGATTGTTTCACATAATTTGTATAAGAAGAAATGGACAGGAACCAAAACGCACATATTTAACAGATTAGATGGGAGAGAAAAACATTTGGTAATTAATGGTTTTAAATCAATATGTCATATTCTCTACAATTTTTACTTTCACGTTCCTAAATCTGAAAATACCTATTTTTACTCAAGTTAGAACAGTTAGCGAAAGTTGTGATTTTTTCCCTAATTTCTTTTTGTAATGCATCATTATAAATTGTTGAAATTAAAATATTTATGCATTTGTTTTAAGAGATTAAATTATCTTCCCTTTTATCAGAAGAATCTTATTAATTTTAGCACACTTATTGGGAGGAGTGTTGAAAAACATATTTCTCAATACGACTATTAAGTAATACAATAACATTAACACTACATTTTCTACTCATTGTTCAAATTTATTGAAATGGGAATGTTCACTTTTCATTCTGAACATAATGGCTCTCTAAAATGGTATTAATTGACTACCTGTATCTCAATTATGGCCAAATAGTGCAAACGAACCTAGTAACATGTAGCTAGATCTTTATGAAATCCATTAAAATTTCAAATGAAATTCATATTTCTCATGTTTCATTTATCTCTTAAATAATTCATTGTAATGTACATGCTCAACACTTCTAAAACTTGTTCCTAGTTTTATTCTTATTAAGGAATCCACATACTATAAATAACCATGAAGATTTTCCTTAGTTTTTCTGGTGAAGGTTTTTGGATCTATTTATTTATAAGCATTTAAGTTACTGATTAATCAAAATACATTAAATTTTATATTTTATAGTTGGCGGTTGCATTATAAAGGAAGGATATGGTCCGGGGTGGCGGTCATAAATAGGCTAAATAGTGGCAAAGTAGTTTTAAGTAGTACATTATATAAAATAAAGAATTTTAATTATTTTCTTCCATGTCACAGACAATCGTTAAACATTTATGCTTGAAGTTTTACAGGTATATATGTATATAAAAGAATCGATTAATCGATCCGTCAATAATAATAAATAATAGTTTATTTGGAATTTTTATCAGTACTTTATTTCTAAAACGCATAGAAACATTTGGGTTTCTTTCTCAGATAGTTCAAACATAGTAATTCATTATGAGTTGTCATTAATATCTTTCAAAACATATACACAATTAAATAAATAATAACAAATAATAAATAAATTTCATTATAACGAAATGCAGTTGTTCATAGCTGACTATGATGTGAGGCCGGAGTGCAATTTTCGAACTTGCACAGACACGTATAGTACAAAGTTTAAACAATGATTTCTTAGGGAATATTTCGATTTCCGTGTATTCTCTCTTCTAATAGATCATAGAAGGATTGTTAACTATCCATGTACGTTTTATTAGTTTTATAATATCATTCACTGAGGTATGGTTAATTTAAAAATAAACATTTATTAAATTCGTCATTACCTTATTTTGTAATGACTGATAAGCTTTCCCGTTATTTTCTCAAAGATTTGTAAATTTTTAAGTTCTTATTAATAGTAACAGATTTCAGTTATATCTGAATAACTATGATTGTTAGGAAACGCGCGGTGCACAGCTGACACTAGAATGAGGTGACGATGCAGTATGCCAGTGTTACCACACCTCAATAATAAATACTATTGATTTTTTTTTAAGGTAAGAAACAAGTTTACTAAAACAAAATATGCATGAAAGTATTTTTTTTTTTTTTCAGAAACTATTGAACGAACGAACTCTATTATAAAATTTTTGAAGTTCATTTAAAACGGAACTAAAGCTTAAAAACATACAGATAACAAATCATTAAGAACATTAAAATTACAAAAACTCTTTATTATATCTACGGAAGATAATCAAAATCTAGTTACTCCATCTGCTTTTATAAACCAAATAACGTCAGTCAAAGAGCCTTTCAGTTGACAGAATGACTAACTCCAATTTCAACATTTTGAGTAATGTAATTTTAGTGATATTTCTAGTTGGAATAGTTATATCTATACAGACAGAGATTAAGTTGATTCCTGAGTAGGTGATTGTAGTGTTGAAACATAGAATTGTGAAAGCTATAAATTTTGCCACTAGAAACGTTACTAAAATTAATAATAAAGAATGTTGAAATTGAAATTCCGTCAGCTCAAAGGCTCATATATGCCTAGAGAGATTTGAAATTATATCTGAATATTTAACCTATAATTGATTATGGATTGTAGGACTATGAGTTATTAAACTGTTATTTTCTATTACAAAGTTTACTGATATTAAATTACAAGATTTTCATTGCCTGTCATGGATACGTCAAAAGTTGTCTCACTAATTGGATAATGTTAGGATTTCACACAGGGATAATTCACTTCTTTAATTTTCTTAAAGGATACTCGATGATTATTCCAAATAAATGACCGATATGTACCTAATTATTTAAATATATCATATCTAGAGTTATTAAACTACAGTAAATGTATTTAAGGCTATAAATATATCCATGAAATATTTTTGTATTTCACTTCTTTTTTCACACAAGTGCAATGAAATAGTATTTTAAACAATGTTATTGGTTTGATTCGGTGAATTTTAAATACTTTTTCTAAAACTTAAAAAAAAAAAATTAAGTTTACATTTAGAAAGAAAATTACATTTAATTTTCTTGGAAACATATGATTTACTTTAAATAATATTAGTTTTCTGAAATTATTCTTTTTTTTTCGACACTCTCCGTGACACAACTTTATTTATTTGATATTATTTTTTTCTGAAATTTTCCGCTTTCCAACGATGTATTATACCAATATCTTGTGACTATTATATCCGGAGATTCGTTTTGGAACTGGATAAGCATTTTTCTTCTTTTTTTTTCTACACTATTCTAACTTATTCAACATTATTAAAATCCTTTCAGAAGTTATATTTAGCATTTTTTCGTAACTCCTAAAAGTGAAAGATAGTTAATTATTCAAAATAAACCAAATTAAAGGTACTTTAAAGGAAGAAATTTTGACATTCGGCATTCAATCTGTGTAAAGTGACATCAATGGAGATAAGACCTTAATGATATTAAAGACCATTTAATTATACAATGATACACTGAGCTTAATCAAAAGTGTTGCAGCAATTTTTGAGAAAATCAACGTTGATATAAAGTGGCACTTCCGGTTAGCCAATTTTAAGGAAAAAGTTGCTGTAACATCTCAGTCATATACCTATCTTAAATAGGTAATAACAGTTTCGTAGGATTTTTCATTTTTGAGCAAAACATTCACACACAGAGACCATTTTAGATTCAGGGGACCTTTTATTTCCTTTGAAAGCTCAGTTTTGAAAATTTTCACGATCATCGCAATACTTTCTCTTACTATACATCACATACATAGGTAAATGAAAGCAAAAAATTACATATTAGGTATATTATCTTTAATGTTAATTGAAAATTGCCTTTTTAAACAGGTCTTGGAGCCTAATAAAGCTAAATGGTATTACAGTTAGAACTGGCTGCCAATTAACACCTCTACCCTAGTTAGTTAGTACCTTTACGGAGTCATTACCATTACAAATGAATTTCAGAATATAAATTATAATTCATTTTATATATATGCATGCTTAGTATAATTCTGAACAATATTGATACAGGATATAATAAAAATGCTCAAGTATAAAGTTTGATTTTATTTCACAAAAATATTTCAAAAAATAAATAATGTGTTTATAAAAGAAACAAAAGTATCAAATCATTTAAATCCTATTACATATACTTATTTATATAATATATAAATATTATATATAAAATTAATAAATTTTTAAAAAGTACTGCAAACTCTATTATTAAACTCTCTGATTTTTTCCTTGTTGATTTTATATACTTTTAAGGTTCAGAAGACTGATCATCTAATAATCTATTTACAAATCATTTTAGATAAATTTTAGATTAGTTATTATTTTAGTATAATACCCTTTTTAATATTTACATTTAAGGGATAAATCAGTTAGTTCCAAAAATTACAGAAAGTAACATACATTAAAAACACTGAAGGAGAAAGTATGAAGAAAAAAATAATACATTAAATTGGGCTGAAAAGCAAAGGAAGAAGATCATAAATAAATAAATAGTTAGAATATTTAAAAAATATCACCCATTTGAGATATATGTAAAAGAGGAAAGATGAATAGAAATGTTTACACTTTTTCCTTTTAAATTTTCTTTTAAAATAATTTGAACCATGAAAAATAGAACATCTGTGTAGAATGTTCTTACAGCATTTTCCCGTTTAGTCGGAAAATAGTTTGAAAAACTGTTTGTCTATTAATGAAAGAAAAGCTGTAGTCATCTATATTTTTTAAAGCAAACTTTTTTCTGTAGCTTATATGAGCATTTTAAGATCATCTTATATCATTAAATACTATATATATCAGTAAATAACTCTAATAAAAAAACTTAAATAATAATCAACCTGTATGACAAAAAAGAGAGCAAACAATTATTTTATATTTAATTTTTTTATCAGTTGAAATTGTTTTAACTGGCTAACAACCAATAGACTTACTATTACAAAACTCATAATACATCGGAATCATACTTTTCACATATAGAACTTCTTTGAGCCTTCATCTAGTGATTTTGCAGTTCTGGCTTGGACAGCAGCCATTTGTAAGTTATATGGAAACTGGATTTTGTGACGAGCGACTGATTTTAGTACCAATGCTCCTACATAGATGATGAAATAGATGCTGAAGTAAAGAGGAATGTACCTGAGAAAGAACCATTGAAAAAATTATCAATTATTAATAATATATGTAAATCTCATAAAATTATGTGTCTAAATCCAAAAACAGCAGGAAAAACCACATGAACCTACAAAGAATCTTAGATGTCCAACTTTCCACCATTATTATTGTAATAATTAAATTTATTTCAAAACTTGAAAACCTTATGAAATACAATTTTCATCTTCAGCCCACTTAATTGTATTTTTGTATCAGAGATCATTTCAAAGATTATCTGCATTTGTTTTTTTAGATTTTTAGGATAAAAGTGGTTTTGTTGATGAAATTGATTTTGTATTTATTTGCTTATACCATATTTTTTTTTTTTAATTTTATAACTGATACAATTAGGTGAATTATTCTTAAAAATATAATTAACCAACCATTTTCTTGTTCATTACTTAAAGATTATGAAAGGTGAGAAATTCATCTAAATAGGTCTCGAAACATGAGAAAAAAATTCCACATTAACTGGAATTTTTAAGATTAGTGAATGTTTTGTTGTTTATATGACAGAAATTGAAGTAATATTATCTAAAAATCTCAATAATTAAGAAAAACTAAAAAAAAAATTAAATGATTCATCTACTTTCAGAAATATCTATAAAAAAATATTAGTATCTGAAAACAACATAATAATTTTGTAGAATATTCATAATTTATTTGTTGAATCATCACACTCTATATAAACTTATGGCTTTCATTTGTTTAATACATAGTGTCATTTTATAATTGATATATTCAACAGTCAAAAGTGGATATTACGCAGTGCTCTAGCAAGGAAGATAATGCTGCCTCTCTTCAATATTCTTTCATTTTATTTTTCATTTGACAAGCTTCAGTTCTTATATGGTTCATTAGTTTTATACTTACAAATTTGTTTAAATCTAAAATTATGATTTCTCTAAAATTTTACTGCTCTCTGAAAATTGCCGCCTGAGATGAGTAACAGACCTGAGTTACTGAACATAAATTACCCACTGTTATGTATAAAATACAAATAAAAATGAAAAATATATCATAAACCCATTGCTTCAAACATACAAAATGATGTTATGTCTTTGATGACAAATAAACCAGTCATTCAGTTCATATTGTAAGTCTTTATTTCTTTACAATTTTAGTTCATTTATCAGTTATAATTCATCTGCAATGGGTTTTCACTAATTTAGAACTAATTAATTTAATTTAATATGTTTGTTTTTATTTCTCAAGTCAAGTTCTTCTAAAAATTCTTTGTGTAAATATTACTATTATTTTTGTTTATTTATTTATTTTTTACTAAACTATTATGTTTATTTACTCAAATATTTTTTAAATATGAATATAAATAACTTGTTATAATTTGAACTATATAAGTTACTACATAGTTATGCATTGACAAAACAAAATAGGAATCTTACAATTGCAATTTAAGTTAATTATTTTTTTAATAAAATGTCAAGGGAATATTTACCATAAATGTCTTCCCAAGTAATAGTAGGTAACCAGAGGGTTTTCAACCTGCTTTGATGTTTCAACCATTGCATGAGCAGCAGGTAATGCTGGAAGAGCTGGTGGTGGAGGATAGTGGTAACCAATCGATGGTTCTTCATGGAGATAGCCATGTTCTGGAATATTATATCGGTATCCATGGTTTTCTGGGTATCCAGTGCCTGGTTCATTATCATGGTACCCTGTATCTTCCTGGTAGTCATGATGTAGATCAGGTTGATAGTCATGATGTAGATCAGGTTGATAATCATGATGGATATCAGGTTGATAATCATGATGGATATCAGGCTGATAATCATGATTTAGCTGTGTATGATAGTCATGTTGTACTTCTGACTGCAAATTAGATTCTTGGTAGTCACTGTCTTGAGGATTGGTCACTTCGCCTGCTTGGCTCTCTCCTCCTTCATATGCATATTGGATGTCATCTGCTGCTGTATCAGGCTGAAAATATTTATTTTATTTTTGATTATCAGCATTTAATGAACAATAAAAGTTTATCTAATTGTAAGAACAAAGGGCAGACTATCTCGAATAGAAATGGACTGTAATTTGAGATTATCATTAAACCAATTAAACAAAATCAAATTTATTATATATTTTTGTAAATCAGAAAAAAACTTTCTTTCTAATACAAACTATATATAAACGTGGTTACAAATAATTAATCACATCTACCTCATCTTTTTGGCTAGAATAGAAGGTGGTTGGATGGTACCTATGAGTCAATAACTTCTTAGGATTGTCACCCCTATAACAAAACAGAGATTACAGCAAAAAAAAAATATTAAATATATATTTATTAACTAAATATTTTTAAACATAATTTTGGTTTGTATTATTTTCAGTGCACCTGAAAAAAAAAAATTGGTTGCCGGAATACTTCAGAAGAAAATCAAAATTAGTATGGAGATAGAGGTATAGTTGACTGTTAAAGTTGTAGGGATGAAAAATAAAATATACAGAGATTTACGTTGTTTATTAAGTTTGTTTGGACCCAAGCATGTGGGTCATCATCAGGGTAAAAATTTAAAAAAAAATACAAAAATTACATCAGAAAATTGAGATATAAATGCAGTATATAAATACATATAGTAAATATGTGTATATATATATATATATATATAAGATAAGGACAGGAGTCGGGCAGTATCAGCCTTAATACCTTCCTGGTATGTAAATAAAGCTCTAAAGTGTATATAAGAAGGATTACTTCACAAATAAAGCAGTATTGTTTCTGAAGCCGTGTGAGTCATTTAACAGCCCCTTTTCTCCTTTTTTTTTATCGTTTGATTTCAAAGTCGCATAAGTGGTGCCGAAACCCGGGAATATTGTTATTGCCCAGTAAGTAGGAAACTATTTTTTCTTTTTTCTCTCTTACTTGCTCAAACAGGAAAATAGAAGCAGAATGGCGACAGACGGAATCCCTAACCCGGGAATATCAATTGCACCTGAAGTTCATCAGGCTCCGGAAATTCCGCAGATTCCGGAAATCCCTCCGCTACCAAGGGACACATTGGCGGAAGCACACGCCAATGCCTTGGAGTGGATGAAAGTAAGAGCAGCGACCACTCAGGATCTAAGGAGAGCTATAGCGGACTTGGAACGCTTCGGTGGAGAGATAGGCGAGCTGAACCATTTTCTGAAAGGTGGGGACCGTCTCATTTCTAGAATCGAGGCAAAGGTGGCGGAAGATTTGGTGAACCTGGGAGATGCTGAAGCATTGAAAGCAGCCTTGGTATGTAGAGTACGGAGGAGTGTTCTTAACCAGATACAGGCAGACGAAGACACAGCATGGCCGGTGATCAAACAGAGGTTGAAGAAGGCTTTTGGGGGAGGCCGATGGACTCCAGAGGAGGACATCTTCCAGATGTTCAGGGAACGACGGTCGCAACGACAAACAAACGGGCAGTATGCGGGAGTACTATTGGCGAAGTTTAATCACATCACGGAGAAGATGCGCGAAATGATGAGTGCAGGAGAAGTAGAGGCCAGGATGGAGTTTTTGTCAACTATCCTCAAGGTTCAACTGGCCAAGGAGACGGGAAAGAGGGACGGCTTACCAAGAGAGCGGTCGTTCCTGGAGTGTGCCCAGGAGATGGTCGACTTTAGCGCGAGGGAGGAAGAAAGTAGAATGGAGATAGAGGAAGCTGGATGGAACCGAGTGAGCGAGAGACGCTTCAGGTCCGCACCGATAGGGTGGAAGAAAAGGGAGTCTGGATACGGAAACAGAGGAAGGACCACAACAGGGGAAAGAAAACCAGGACCACCCAGGCCACGAAATGGACCCCGTAAGGAAGAAAGGAAGTGTCATGGCTGCGGCAGGACGGGACATCTAGTGGCACAATGCCCCCGTACCAAATGTTTCGAATGCGGAACAGAAGGACACATTGCGCGGCAATGCCCGTACATGTTTAGAAGGAGGGAGACGGCACAAGATGAGCCGATGGAGGTCAATATGCATAAGGTGAGGAGGAACCCTAATATGACTCGACGAAGCGGGCCTTCGGAAGAGGTAACGGAGATATCAGAGGCCTCGGAGACGGAAGAAGAGGAACCAGGGAGCAGCGGAGACGAAGGAGGAAGGAGCACGCAGTGGAGCGGACAAAGACGAGCGGCATCGAGGAGGAGCAAGCAGGCAAAGATCTGAGGAGTGTGTCTTCAGAGCGGCGACCGCACAGCGACCTGCAATAACATAAGAGGTAAGTCCTGCTGGTTGCCAATCATCACGATAAAAGGGGGAGTGAGGTGCTTGGTAGACACGGGAAGTACTTGCACTATTATGACCCGTGGGGCACTAGAGAGGCTGTGTGGTAGGGAGAGCGCACCCCGGATTCAGGGATGCGAGTGTAAATTAATTACCCTAGGAGGGGCGTGTAAGGTGGAAGGAGAAGCGGTCGTTGAGTTAAACCATTGGGCAGGTAGAAAGGGGAGTTTGAAAGTGCACATTGTTGGAAACATAACTCGGGAATACCAGGCGATAATAGGGTGCGACCTATTCGGACAAGTAGGGATTAGAGTCGAGTACAGGAATGGGACTTGGAGGATCAAGTTAGGAGGACAGAGGTACAGGAGTACGGAGAGCATAAGGGGTACGAAAGCGCGGATAGGAGCGGTAAATCGAGTCGAGGATTGGAGGAAGGCCATAAGAGTAGAATACGAGGATATCTTCTTCAAGGAGGGAGAGATACTAGGTGTAACGGGAAGGACAGTCCACGAAATACCACTAAAGCAGGAGCGGGTGTCATACGTGAAGGAGAGGCGATATCCACAAGCACTTAGACAGCATATTCGGGAAGAATTAGAGAATTTAAAAAAGCAGGGTATAATAGTCAACAGCACCTCTCCATACAACAGTCCGTTGTGGGCGGTGAGGAAAAAGGGAGTGCCGGGCGAGACAGAAGAGAAGTACCGAGTGGTAATAGATTATCGGAAGCTAAATGAGAACACGATAGACGAAAAATACCCGATCCCGAGATTCGAGGACATATTGGACAGGCTGAGTGGGGCGGTGATATTTAGTACTCTGGACCTCAAAGCTGGTTATCACCAAATAAAGATGCACCCGAAGGATCAGCATAAAACAGCATTCACATTCGAAAGGGGGCATTACGAGTTCACCCGGATGCCGTTTGGACTAAAGAATGCTCCGATAACCTTTCAGCGCTTAATGGACGAATTCTTGAGAGGGTTGGATGAAACCGTATGCCAGGTCTATATGGACGACTTGTTGGTATTTAGCAAGACGGAAGGGGATCACGTGGAACACCTGCGAAACGTATTCGAGAGGTTGCGCTGTTTTGGTCTAAAATTATCCAGAGAGAAATCCCTATTAGGACAAGAGCGGATTAATTTTTTAGGCCACACAATTTCGAAGGACGGGGTTAGGCCGGACGCGGAGAAGGTAGAGGCTATTAGGCGAATGGCGGTTCCGCGAGATGTTAAAGGAATCAGGAGGCTCCTTGGAACGCTTAATTATTATAGGAGGTTTGTGCCGGAAATGGCAGAGTACCTGGTCCCGATCAATAATCTGCTGAAAAAGGGGGCTAAGATGATCGTGACACCAGTAATGGAACAGAACATTAGGAAGTGTATGGACCGTTTACAAACAGAACCGGTATTAGCGTTTCCGGACTTCAGTAAGCAGTTCACGATCACCACGGATGCCAGCGAGTATGCGCTGGGAGCAGTACTGTCGCAGGATGGAGTAGGTGGAGAGCAGCCCATAGCATACGCGAGTAGACGCCTTACCGAGGCTGAGACGAGATATAGCGCTTTGGAGAGGGAATTGATCGCGATAGTGTGGGCTATTGATCATTTTCGGCCTTACGTATTCGGAAGAAAGTTCAGAGTCCACACCGATCACAGGCCCCTTCAATGGGTTGGGAAATTAAAAGAATCCTCTGCGAGAGTCGCGCGATGGAAGGAATTTCTCGGCCAATATAATATTGAAATAGTGTATAAGCCAGGAAGGGAGAATGTGGTGGCCGATTGGCTGTCGAGAGCCATAGTAGTGAATGCAATCGAGGAAGACAGTGGTGGACCATCGCGTGATGTTCGACAGTTCCTGAGTGAATGGACACCGGAAAGGGAAGGGGAGGACGGTACGAGAGATGGACGGCAGGAAGAGGAGTCCCCCGAAGAGGAGAGCTCGGCGGAGGAGAGGCCAGCAGAGATAGAAGAAATTGATGAGATCATCAACGATAAGCGTCACCAGGTCATCTGGAAGACTAGGACGGCGGGTATGATGAAAATCGACTACAGCCGCTACGGTAGAAGTAAGGTTCACACGGTCTGGTCGCAACCAGGGGTGCGTGAGGATCAGATCTGCAGGGCGCTGAAGGATGCATCGGAGCCAGGGAAGACAAATCATCTCTATGTGGGAAACGCCACAATATGGGAAAAGATTAAGAGGATGTGGAGGTCCGAAAAAATCGGAATAGATAGAATATTTGTCCGATGCAGATATATGGTGGAGACGATAACGGACGAGGAACGGCAAAAGGAGGTGACTCTTGCATATCACCAGGGGAAGACGAACCATAGGGGAGTGAACGAAACCTTACAGGCACTGCGCAGGAAATACTTTTGGTGGGGAATGAGGAAGACCATACAAGAAACAATTGGAACATGTGAGGTGTGTATGCGCACGAAGTACGACAGACACCCGCCTCAGGGAAGACAGGAAGAGACACCCACGGGAGACGCACCATTGCAAGATCTCCAGATCGACACTTTCACATGGAGAGGGTATAAGTGGGTAACCATGATCGATACTTTTAGCAAACTTGCTATGGCATACCGGATATTGGAGAGGTCGTCCGATGCAGTTTTGGAAGCCATCCAAACATGGATGCAATTTTATGGGGTACCGGAGAGAGTCTCCTCGGATGGAGGAAGAGAATTTGATAATAGCGCAATGAGGGAGGAGGCAAAACGCTTAGAGATAAACTGGCATTTCAATACACCAGGGCACCCCAAGAGCAGAGGTAGCATCGAGCGGCTACATAGTACCTTGAGCGACCATATACGCGTGTATCAGGGAGAAAAAGGATTGGAGCCCGACATTGCGATGAAAAAGGCGATAATAGCGTATAATCATTCAATCCATTCCGTAACTGGGTTCTCACCCTTCGAGGTACAGTATGGGATGCGGGAACGAAGACGGGATTGCGCGGAAACGGCGATTGACGACCACGTGGCCGAACAAATAGGTAATAATAGGGTGGAGTTAAAGAAGACGTGGGATACGGTAGGAAGGAGAATAGAAAGGGAAAAGACGAAGAGGGTAGATAGAGAGAATCTAAGATTACGCGACCAAATGGGGGATTTGAAAATCGGGACTATTGTGTACCGGAGAAGGGGAACGAATCGAGGGAAGGAATTGACGCGATATGAGGGCCCATTCAGGGTGGTTGCCATCAGGGAACATAATTTGGTGACGATAGAGAGTATGAAGGAGCCTAAAAAGAGACGCACAGTTCATATCGAGCAATTGAAACTCCCGTTTGTAGGGGCAGAAAAAGAATAAATGAACCGTGGTGCCCTCTTTCCTGCACACAGAAAAGTTTTTTTTTGGCTTTTGTGTTTCATTGTAAAAAGAGTTGTATATAGGAAAAAGTGCTGTGTTTTTTTTTAATTCCATTGTATGTTTTTTTTTAAGAAAACCGTTTTTGCGTTATTGTATATTTTGCGTTGTAGTTTTAAGCGAAAAGAAGTGTATTTGTTTTATTCATAGAGTAGTGTCTCTGTTGTAGGACAATGCAAGAGAACTCCTCAGTTGGTTGTATTGCTATTATTATGATATTTTGTATTTTTTTTTTATATATTATTATTGTATTGAGCGTACAGGAAACAAGGTGGTGAGGCTGATACAGTTCACTTCACTCGAGAATTAAAAGTTTTCGAAAGGCTTTTCGTAAACTGGTGGGGGGGAGATAAGGACAGGAGTCGGGCAGTATCAGCCTTAATACCTTCCTGGTATGTAAATAAAGCTCTAAAGTGTATATAAGAAGGATTACTTCACAAATAAAGCAGTATTGTTTCTGAAGCCGTGTGAGTCATTTAACAGCCCCTTTTCTCCTTTTTTTTTATCGTTTGATTTCAAAGTCGCATAAGTTATATATATATATATATATATATATATATATATATATATATATATATATATATATATATATATATATTGTATGGGTCCGCCCAAAAACAAATAAAATTTATTTATTTATTAAATATATATATTTATTTATAGGAGATAAAAGATTGAAAGTACGCATTAGATAACGGTATAATAAACATAACTAATGAAAAATGAGTAAATAGAAAGTAAAAAAATTAATTAAATAATTATTTAAAAAAAATTAAATAAATCTTTTTTTTTATAATTACAAAAATACTTGAAACACAAAATGCAACATTACATGAAGGGATAAAAACTTTTAAATAAAGGGATGAGGTCGAAATTATGTTATAAAAGCTTAAATATAATTAATTTTATCAATAAAATAAATAATTGAACTAATTTATTTCAGTATTTCTTTTTAGCTTGTCTAACTGTTCATTAAATATTGAATTCCTTCAACTCAACTGTCTGTTAAACATAAAAGTATTTAACTTAATTTTCTTCAATTATTTAAAGATAAATCTATCTATTAAATCTATTTTGCTATATCATTGAGAAACGGAAATGAATCAATAATAATCACACTTGCCACAATATAATAAGAAAGAATACGATGGCTGCCGTATTATAAAGAAACTATTTCATTTAACGTCAATATTTTGCGTCATAAAAGGAATACATATTAAAATGTTATTGTTCAGATAACAACCAACAAAGGAATTTTTTCGTGTAAGATTATTAGGACCGTTGAATAACCTTTTTCTTATGTTGATAAAAGTATTTATTTACGATATCAAATAACCTGTATTCAAAAAAGGATTATAATTTATCAGGCGATGCATGGAAATCATTAAGATTCATATCCAGAAGAAATTTCTGGGAAGGGAAATTTCAGAGCGACTACAGAATTTCGAAGAACTATTACCTTGTCTTTGGGATAACACGTACCAAATAAATCAATTATCTAACTATTTAACGTCGATTGTCATAGACAATACAATTAATTAATTTTATTAGTGCATCTACAATAATCGATTTGTCACTAGGTGGCTCTGTTTATATTTTCATTAACCCATAAATGAAATATGTATTTAATTAAGCAAAGTATTACAAAGGAGAAAAAAATTCAAATTCAAGTTTTCAATGGAAATATTCGCCTCGTTTAAAGCTCGTCTGAGTACAAATGAACAGTTTCGAATTATGATTTCTGTTTGTGATTATCGGAGTAACCAAGTTCAAAAACTGAAATTCGTACGAAACTTAAATATTGTAATTGAGGTAGATACAAGCCTGGACACGGGAAGATCTGCGGGGTGGCTTTGGGATTGAAGCCTCCTCCAAAAAAATGGTAAAATGTAACCGTGTTTTATGAAAAAAAAATATTAAAAAATTATCTCGTATTGTTCGTATATTCAAGGAATCACTTAAACACCATTTCATATAGGTAGTTAGTTTCTTTATTTTTTTCAAAGTAATTATCGTTATTTTTATGAAAAAAATCTTTCGGGCTGAAATCCCCCTCCTCCCTGAAAATTAAACCCTGGATCCGCTGGTGAGCCTGGGATGTTATAGCTTTTAGTCAAAATCGACACGAGAAGTGCTACTATCTCAATGATTTTACATTTCATATCACATTTTTTATATAAATTACTGTATCTTACATTTTTCTAGAAAAAATTTATATTGTTAATTTTATATTTTATAATTTTTGAAAATTTAAGTGATCGACGTTTCAGAAAATTCCTTCATCTTCTCCACCATTCAACATTTTTTTGTTTTTATATTTGTTACATCTCTGGTTAAAATGTGTTTTTTTATTTCTTAGAATATCCAAGGATTTTCCTTGTCATGACTAAAATTGCTCTTAGTCATTCTTTATTTTAGACTTTGATATATCTACGTAAAGAATTTGCTAAAGATGCTCATGAAATATTGTCAATCGGTTATAATAAAAAAAAATGAATAAAAGAAAAGATCTTAGATATAATAATTAATGTAAATAATATGCTATGAAATTTTAATAATACCCTTAGATTAATAAATTTGATTGACTTATCACTTTTTATTTTTAGATTTTCTCGAAAACAGTAGTAACGTTTTTTGTTCCCTTTTCACTCTCTCTTCGATCCACAGTTATCAACTCAGTCCCAAAATAAAATTGCAATATTAAGTGAATCTTCCTCGCTCAAAAAATCTTTACGTGTGAAATTATGTAAAAATTTGTGATATTTGTACCAGAGTTTGTCGTTAATTATTTTTTCAGACAGTAACTGACATGTTTCTTCTTTAAATTTAAATTATATATGGTGGCTGCACGTCATAGCTTTAATTGTCTTGAAAAAATATAACAAAAATCTTTTTGTCACAATTTAGTAAACATTCTGTTTAGTGACTATTGAAATAGGCAACATTCGTATTATTGTATCAAATGAATAAATAACATATGTCGTTCCTTTTCTTATTGTATTCGGTTACGGATTTGATACAGGTTTCTTTATTACAGGCCATTTTCAGGTATCTTTCTTAAAAAAAAAAAATGAATTAGCTTGAAAAACTATGAACAAATCGTTGGTTTGTGGTAACATTATTATATTTTATAATTCGGCATCATTAGAAAATAGCTTTAAATAAATAAATATACGTTATTCAAGTATGACTTGGTGTTACAGGAGCAGATCAATTAAAATAAATAAACTTTGTCTTCTTGTGTAGTTTATTCTCTTTGGCAAAACCGGTTGCGAGAGTGAATAAACTACACAAGAAGATATTGTATTTTTATTTTAATTAAATGTACATTTATATTATGTACATTAATACATAAATACCAGATTTTATTGTAAATCATATTACCTTACGAAATATTCCGTTAAACAAGTGCAAAAGATGAAGAAGTGTATTGACACTAACATCTCTGAATACTGACTGGTTACCGGTCGCCCTGATTTTCAGCTTCACATAGGTGATAAATGGCTGAGACAATGTTGAAGCTGCTGTTAAAAGTTCATTTCGTGTCGACGAGTAAAAAGAGCTTGCTCCGAATAATAATTATATATCATTCACTAAATAATAATTGATATTTAAATATAAAACAACAAATAAGTGATATTTGGTTACTGAATGAGAGCAATGGATCAATGCAGCCACATCTTAAGTTCATTTAGAGAATAAAATTTAAAATATGGTCCGATTTATCTGACTTTTACTGATAAAATATTTGTTTGGTGGAAATGCAGAATAACGGATTGATTTCAGAAAATAAATTAGTTATAAGCATGTGATGCCATAACTATTCTTTGAAATGGTATACTAAATGGGGAAATGCCAATAATTGAAAGAGAAGAGGTTAAGCAAAATTCTGTTTAACCAAAGTTAGTTCGGAACTTTCTATCTCAAGGTACGTTTTGACATTTCACAAACTATGGGAAACAAATATTTAAATGATTTTTTTCCTTGTTTTTGATGTTTACCATCTATTGTCGGGAGCAAGAGAAAAAAAAAAGTTGGGCTTTACGCTAATTCGCTATCAGTTAAGTTAGATGATTGTGTTTCCCATAGTTTGAGAAAGATCTAAATGAACTTTAACTTAACTAATTGTGACATTAGCGCTATGCCAACCTTTTTTTAAATTTCCCTTTATACCGATGGAAGATGAAAACCATAAAAAACAATAAAAAAAAAAACACTAGCATAGAGAAACAACCATTAAGATATTTGTTTTTACCAAGTTTGTGATATATCTAAATGCACCTTTAAACCATGGTAAAAATATGAAATTGTAAAGATTTTTTCAATAAAACCAGGATTTTCCGTTTAGAAACTCGAAGTTATATAATGTAACTTAACAGTACCCAAATTTATGTCACAATTTCCAGTATCCACTATAAATTTCTTAAAAGATAGCAACCAGTTTACATGAAAATATTATTTATGTTTATAGCAGTCAATGTTAATATGAAAAAATATATAATATTCAGAAATACTCGTTGGAATCTCATATAGTGATTTTTCGAGCAACGACCTTGTAAATTTCAATGAAGCTGCGTTATTTGATCAGTTTTCCAACGGAGTACTCAACTTTGTGATGTAAGTCTAATTTGGAAGAGATGTTGAGATTAGTCGGCAAAAAAAGTGAGAAACCTACAATGATATGAGTACCTAGTAGGCACTAGCGGATCCAGGATTTAATTTTGGGGGGCTTCAGCCCGAAAACTTTTTTTTTTAATAAAAATAACGATAATTACTTTGGAAAAACATAAAGAAACTAACTACCTATATGAAAAGGTGTTTAAGATATTCCTTAAGTACTTTTAAATGTAATTACACGAACAATTATACTTTAAGAGGTATTTTTAAATTTTTTTTCCCATAAAACATGGTTATATTTTTTCATTTTGGGGGGGGCTTCAGCCCGAAAGCCCCCCTCCCCCGTAGATCTGCCCGTGCTAGTAAGTATTATGAGTGTTCCCAGTAAGGAAAAGGCACTTTCTGCACTCCTCAATATTGATGTTTTTCTGGTCTCCTAAATATTTTACGCTCATTCATTTCAACATAACTCCCAAAAAATATTATAAACTGTACAAATAATAATTACATGTAATAAACTGATGACTGTGCCACCATTATATGTATGGCGTTCTAGCCTTCACCCATACACCCAATATTTCCCGATGTGCTAACACGATAATGGTGCGCAGTAATTTCTTCAGGAATACTATTTAAAATATTTTATCTCAACAAGGAAGGCCCGCTTGGCGGTACATAACCACATTTTTGTATGACTACTATTCCTCCGTCAATTATCGACATTTCCTCCTGGCACACCAAGATAATAGTGCAATATCTTCGGCGAATATAAATGCTTCATTTCATATGATTTGAACTTTTTCAGAGGAGTTGTTTGTAAATAATAATAATGACATGTAGTTCATATTATAATAAAAATAAGCTAATGTTTACGACTCGTATTTGGGTATTTTTAGAGTTTAATAATATTAATTTTCTGAGAATTTTATTACAAAATATATAAACAAGATAAATCAAAATATACTGGTTGGCCCGTCCGAATAATTCGCATAGAATATTGATCAATGAACAAATGATAAAATGGTAAGAAAATGAAGTTATGCAACGTATCATGCCATGGATGAATCAATTTTTTTTTCTCGACCAAGGAATAGAAACATAATATAAAACCTCATTCATGTTTTAAACCAACATCAGTATAGATTACAATAATCTGTATCTCAGCCAATAATGTCCGAATGCGATGACTTTTATTTTATTTTATTTTTTATGAAATTTAGTATTTTTTTAAATAATTGTGGGTTCGATCGACAAAAACTTTTACTTTTGTGCTTTTTGAGTCATTCACAAATAAAGTTTCTTTGCGTTCATAACTTTTTTTCGTGAATTTTCGGGAGGATGGGACTATAATTCGTCACATCACTGTGTGATCCCCTTTGGTTTGATACCTTATTCATCAAAATCCATCGCTCTTGAGAGCCCAAAAATGGATCTACACTGCGAAAATCGTATTATATATAAAGATAGATTGGAATATATTTTTTAAATATCGCAAAAAAAATTGAATATAAATCTGTTTTAATAATAATGATAACGCACTTGCAGGTGATAAATTATTCATGAACAATAAGGTTTAATTAGGCTCTTTTTTTGGGAATGGATTGATCAGTTAAGAATAATTAAAAACATCTTTTTTTAATTTTGAGACAAAGAGAATTCTCTAGTAATTTAAGAAATATTCTTTCTTTTTATATTTAAAAATGTAAAATACAAAAATGTTTGATTCTTGGTAGAATTTATTTTTATTCGTACATATAGACCTAAATTATGACAATGCTTGCTGGTTCCTTTTTTTTTGGGGGGGGGGAAGGATTGGGAGGAGGAAAAGGTAAGTTTTAAATATGATCTCTATCATTTAAGTGTTATTATATTGGGGGACCTATTCCTTTAGAGTTCTTGTATCATATTATGTATGAACCGCCGACCTACTAGTTAGACCAATTTGTTTCCTTTTTTTTTTTTTTGTTTATCCGCGTTTCAGTGTTACCCTAAGAGCTGGGTTAACCTGCTCCTGACACCAGAACCCTAATTGCCACAGATCCAAACACCGTTAAATAAGTTTGTAAACAGAAGCCAACGAGCCGATTTGTGCTCACATTGACATAGATGAAGCCTTGCAGGTTGTTCTTCGCTTGCCTCCTCGGCGGCTGCGTCGTATTGACGTTGTACTTGAACGAATCCAACACCACCAGGCCTTCCGCTGCCACATCGTCCCTCCTCAGGTACTCCACCTTCTGTTCATTATCATAATAAATTTATTGCAACATGTTAAAAATAAAATGTTACATCGTGCGATTCGCTCCCATTATTTTTAAAACCTGCATTCTCTTTACCAATGGTCAGTAGGTAATCCTCTTAGCTTAGTGACCAACCATATTTGTCAGCCCAGTTCTAAAAAAAATATGTGAAACCAAATATTCCAAAATGAAACGAGGTAACATTTTAATTTCTAGAATTTATTGATTGAAAGCTATTAAATTTCTTTTATCAAGGAATACAAAAATCTTGTTATATATATATATATATATATAATCACTAACGGATTCAGGATTTAATTTTGGAAGGCTTCAGCCCGAAAGATTTTTTTTTTCATGTAGATAACAATAATTTATTTGAAAAAAAAAGAAAGAAACTGACTACCTATATGACATGTTGTTTGAGTGATTCTTGAAGTCCAATTAAATGTAATTACACGAACAATAATACTTTAAGAGGTAGTTTTTAATATTTTTTTCTATAAAAAATGGACATATTTTACTATTTTTGGGGGGGGAAGGAGGTGGGGGCTTCAGACTGAAAGCTCCCTCCCCCCCATAGATCCGCCTGTGTCTATAATGTATATGGAATAGAATTTATTTTGTATGATGCTATACATGCTTGTTACATAAATCACATAGACACCCTATATTATAGTATGGGTGTCAACATCAATAACCTCACTATACCACCATAGCACATTATGCTCCGCTTGACAGATATGGTTGCCAATAGCGGCAATATATCGCCAATCCTACTGTGATTTATGTAACAAGCAAGCATGTACTGTACAGCTCTAAACACAATAAATTCTATTCTATATAGTTCACAAATATTTATTATTTACTTTGAATAAAGATAATATCAATTTATAAATTTAATTTTTCTTTACATCTAATACTACCTTGTTTTCTAGAAAATGAAAATTCTTATGTTTCAACCAAATGAAATAAAAGTATCACTAAGTTCAGTAGGTGTTAGTGTAAGTGTCGTAGATTGTTTTTTAGACTTCATAATAACCTGAGACTTTTACTATTAATTTTTGTTTTATTTTTTTTCTTTAATTTTAATAAATAAATGTTGTTTTTTTAGGCATCGAGGCAGGAGAGATTTGGATTCATATTACGACTTTCTAATCAATGAGTGGTCTTTTAAGTTCTGGGCAGTATTTCAGGTAGAAAACTAAATAAAATATTCCAATATTGTGTTGATTGTTTCATAACGAGTTAAATAAAAAAAAAAATAATACTCAGGAATCTTTACCACATAACAATCATAAAATAAAACAAGGAAAAGAAGTTATTGTAATTAATTTATAGTATTATAATAATTAGTATATGCGTTTGTCTTTTCATTCAAAGAACTAAATATTTTTGAATTTTACAAGCAATTTTAATTATTTTTTATTGTTTCTTCAAAACATTTTATGAAATAAGTATTTAATCTTTAAAGTCAAAATATTTTAACATTTTTATATTTGTATTACTTTTTTTTCTAGCTTGTTACAATAGCAGTTTTACTATATTCAACATTTGCAGCAATTTATTATGCCAAGTATACATACCTGCATAACCCACCGACTGAAGACGATCTTTTTAGGTAAAAATAAAATACAATTTCTTCAGTAATAATGTAATTTTTATCCAATTTACCAATACCCTTACAATCTTCGATCTAATCACAATTATTTTCATTCATTTAATTATTTTTCTCAGAAGCAAGTTGCACCATCAAACATTTTGAGGGGAGCCCATTTAGACGGGGTTTTGAATTTTTGAGGAGGGTACATTTCGATTGGGTTGTTATTCTTCAAAATGAAAAGTTTCAAATCAGGGGACAACAGGAAAGCATAGAACAAACCAGTGAATGTGTAATTGTATATAACTTATGATATTTTTTTTTAAATTTTTTTTTATCTTGCACTGATTTTAAAAAGAGGGGAGCAATAAAATATCTTGGGAGGAGAGGGGAGGTTGATGCTCCATTGACTTGGGGAGGGGGAGGGATATGGGCACCCCTGTTAGAATGAATTGTTTTCATTATATAATTGTTTTGGTATTGCCTCTTGGATGTATGTCCATGGGATTTAATGCCCTTATATAATCCAATAAGGTCAAGAAAGGTGGATTAAGCTACTTTTTACCATTCTATTCCAGCTAAAACAAGATGATGACATTTATTCCAATTACCTGCAGCAAAATGAAAGTTAATCCATCCAGATCAAACTTTTAATTTTATTGGCATAGTTATAATTTCTAGCTATTTTTGCTGTTCTAGTATTTTACTTAAGCGACTCAATTAAAAGAGGAATGAGAGGGAAAGAGGAATGAGAAAATTAAAAAATATAAATAAATGTATTATATCCGTACATGTTGTTAATAATGAAATTAAAACTTCCAAATGGGAGTCTTAAAATCAATTGCCTTGTTCTCATGGTCATTCATGTTGCTGACCAAAATATCATTATTTTTTAATACCATTAACAACATCAGAGGTGGTTCCATTTGAATTTAAATAATAGGTTTAAATATTTATCATAATAATAGTTATTTGTCATCAGAAAATTTTATATAATTCGGGACATTTAATTTAATTTTTAAATTATTAAAATAAGTTACTAATTCTTTAGCAACAACAAATATAGCAATATTTCAACGGATTTATTAAATTTTAATAAATTTAATCAGACATTTTAATTGCCATACCCAATATTTATAATATAATTGTTTTTTCAGACGAAGAGTTTTGAGAGCAATTAACAATCATCCAGAAATCCCTGGTATCACAGCTTAAAGTACACTATGGTGGTAACAATTTCATTAAAATTATAAAAAGATCTCAAGAGATATTGTTTTCCAAAAGAAAAAAAATCAAAAGTTCAGCAGATTACACACTTTAGGATAAAACAAATGTTTTAATTTGGAATATATATACTATCACATAAGTATTTTTAGTACAACATAACCAGAACAAGAGCATCCTTTTGTACAATGTACTTATGATGTATGATGTATGATGATGATGGATGGTGTATGATGTACGTATGATGAAAAATCGAAATTATAATAAGGTTTGCAACAAAAATAAATACATTTTATTTTAAATATATATAATTTTATTTCCTCATTAAACCTAAAATGACATGTTTTTCATTTTCTCTTAAGATTTAATTTACAGAGATCTTAAAATATTTCAATAAACAAATAGTAAATCTAATCTTTCATCAAATAAAAATATGTCACTTTCATGGATCTTTATATTACTTTAACAATAATAACATATAAGATAGAAAAATACTATTAATTTTCAGTATCAACAGTTTAGACAGATTACAAATGTATATAATAAGCAAAAATTGTGGAATAAAAAAGAAGGAATATTAAATTAAAAAGTAATGAGAAATCAAATAAACTAATTAAAAGTAATTAATTAGAAGATTAAGTGATTACTAGTTAGCCCATGTGAATAATTCACATTGAGGATATATTGATCAGTATGCATAAGACTAAATAATATTGAAATGAGTTTATACAATGTACAATAAATCAATAAACCAAAATGATGTGTACGATTTAGAAATGTTTCACATAATCATGTATATAAACCATAAATTATATACCTTTTGAGTTATGAGTAAATGAAGTTTCTGAAATTTCTGTGGGATATATCTATTCTCACAAGAAGAAGAAAATAATCTTCAAAACTATCATCAATCATTGGATTTGATAAAGAGTTAAAGAGCTATGCCATACAAAAAAACAAATAAAAAACAACTGCTTTGAGAAATAATACATAAAAAATCGTTTATATAAGTAACAGTGATAATTGAAGATAAAATTTTAAAATAATTATTTTCATAATTAAAAAAAAATTAAATAATTATTATGAAGAAAATGTACTATTAATAGAAGTAAATACCTAATTTAAAGATTTAATTCTTAAAAAGAGGCTCAAGCCAGATATCTATCCTTTCATGATAAACTTCAGTCCTATCCAAATCTGCTTGTTCCTGGATTCATGATAATCCTCCTAGGTGTCTGAAAAGGAGATGGCCTCGTGATCTTCTTACTTAAAATTATTTAGAGAGTGCTATCACTGGGTAGTAACTCTTCAAGCCTGTACATGCCATTATTTATATTTGCGCATATTTACTAGTTCTATTTGTATACAGTTGTAAATTCCATTAAATAAACAAAAAAAAAAAAAAAATTCTTAGAAAGAAGAAATTCAATTATTACTTAGCAATAATAAATAATGAATTCTGTCAATTGTAGAAATTGTAACCTTGTTGATTATCTTCAGAGTAAGGAAAAGTAAATTAATGGATATAGATAATGCTATAAATAGCAAGATGAAAATAGATGAGTTATGTAAGCAGAAATTGTGTGAAACAATGAGGTTGCTTAAAAATATCAGTAACTTATTTGATCAAACTAAATTCAAACCTTTTAATAAAAAATGGCAATAACATTATAATAGTAATTGGCTCTAGAAGGAAAAATATCAGTAAAAAAAAAAAAAATAATAGAATATTTAAGTAAAAGGACAGTAAATACAATCAATTTTAAAATGAAGATCATTCAATAATGAATTTGTATTTTACAATGTGATAGTATTCATTACATGGCTCTAAAATAGAATTAGGAAAAGAAGGGATGTTCACAGCATTGGGGTAGTTTTGAGTTTCCAAACAAAATCCTGAGTGCCTGTTGTAAATAACATTATTTTTCCCTTTTATATTATTCAGAAAATTACCGGTATAAAACTGAACACCAGGTTGATTAGAATAAACTTCAAGTGTGCGGCCAGTTTTTTTATGAGCAGCTCTTGCTACAAACCTCATACCTGTGCCATTCACACAAAAATTATTGTCATATCCATTATTTGGAGAATTATTTATTAAAAACCCAAGATTCCTTTGAGTCCTAAGGTCTAGATATGTGCCAGTTACTGATTTGATCTCCCCTATTGGGATTGAGTCATTATTTAGTGGGGTGTAATAGTCAGCATCAAGCATTACTTCATGATCCATGACATCCATTGCACCAGTTTCATGGCCTGCTAAATTAAAATAGCTATGATTGGTAAAATTAATAGGAGTAGCCTGGGTTGTTTTAGCACGGAGTTCCATTTTAAGTTCATTGTCATCTGTAATCTCAAAAACAACTTTTGCTTCAATATGACCTGGAAATCCTTCTTCTAAATGATAACTAATACAAGTCATAACTAATTTTTCACCATCAACTTTTGCATTCCAAATCTTTTTATCCAGACCATGAAATCCGCCATGGAGAGTATAAGGCGGTCGGTTTGCAGATATGTTATATACTTTATCTTTAATTCTGATCTTGGCATTTTCAATTCTATTACAAACCCTCCCGACTGTGGCACCGAAATAAGGATTGTTTTCTCCCTGATATCCTTGAAGATCGCTGAATCCTAAAACGATATCAGATATATTTCCATGTCTGTCTGGAATTCTAATAGCAGATATTGTGGCTCCATAAGTCAAAACCTCAACTGATATCTTGTCATTTTTTAAACAATAAGCATAAATTGGTTCCGAATGGTCTCCAACTTTAATTTCACCAAAAAGTTTGCTATTAATCATACCTGTAGTTGCAGAAGACTGTTTCACAAAAATGTTCTAAGAGAGCAGAGCTCCACTCTCAAGCCATACAACTATTTGTACTGGCTGTTATGAGCAACACCCACCAGTGACCTTATCACTGATAACGTTATACCGCAAGCCACATATAATGAGAAAGTGGTTAGATAACAATTTCCTAGTAAATAAGGTAATTATGTTTGATTCTTTATCGCATCTCCCGAGACAGCTGATTTCAAGGTCAAGTTCATAATTTCTCTCTCAACTGATTTTTACATTTGTTACCTATTAATTATGATCAAACTTTAGTAAACAAATTAATTAGTTACAGGATTTGTTAGTAATCAACGGAGAGAGAAAATAAAATGAAATATATTTAGATACCTAGTGTAATTTCTTTTTAGGATTAGATAAGTTGTAAGACAAATGTTAAAAAAACAACATTCTGGATAGTAGCTGGTGATGGAAAGGATGAAAATGGCATGTGGAGACTTGTGCATAAGGAGCCTAGAATTGGAGACCGAGATTTCTTTCATTCATCTATTTATACCTAATTTTTCGACGTTGATCGCCGTGTTACCTCTTCTTATCACCAACCGGAATTGCAGAATATATATATATATACTAAGTCAACATGTTATAACTATATTTTAGGTAATATGTTTTGAAATAGATACCGTCACTACTTTACATTTACATACTGGCCGAAGTAAATTCATTAGAGTCAGAAATAAATATATTTTACATAAGTCATTAAATTCTGCTACTCTGTGCAAATGTCTTCTGAGCCTCCTTTCTCCTGCAATTCTATCCACGATGCAGGTTTTTATTGGTTCTTCTCCTCTATGTGTTGGAACCCCTATCCCAGAATATATAGCTAACGCGGGTAGGATTTTCCTAACAAATTTTTCAGTATTTTTGTAGGATGCTAGGTAATATTCAGATCTCGCAACTGTATATAACAAATGGCTTTATTATAACAGTATACATTCTAAATTTGTGCTTTGTTGAGATTTTTCGGAATTTCAGTAGGTTTGAAAGTTCAGTTTGATGATCATTTAATAACATTATTTTGGAGCCGATCTATTTGAATTTGTCTCTCAAGAACAATTTTTATTTAACGCGAATCTTATCGTGGTTGATTTAAAGATTTATTATCATGTATTTTGTTTTATCTTCGCTTACTTAGGTCGATTTGCCCTGCTTTTCTTATTGGAGTCTCTGCAAATCTCTCAATTACCATTTGATTGCTTCCAAGGACAGCTATATTATCAGCATATCCTAGGAGTTTATGATTCATTGTGGCATGCACCTCACCATATTCACATGATATTGTTCTTATTACCTTCTCAAGTGTTATGTTGAATATCTTCACCGAGAATATATCTCTAGGTTGAGAACAAGTTCGAATAGTTAAAGGTAGAGTTCGTATCCGATTTCGACATTTAACATTTATTTTGAGGCGGTTTTACTTTGCGTTTTTTCCGTATGGTGAAGTTTTTTTGGGGGGGGGTGGAGGGAGGGAGGTATTTTTTTATCTACTGCTAAATGTGTTCAACATTTTTATCCGATTAGAAACTACAAATTAAATTTAAAATAATTTGAAAGAAAAATAAGTTTGAAATTTCAACTCACTGGAATACTTCACTCGAATTCACTGGAATACTTGAATTGAGTTTAGGCATGTATTAAAAGCACAATGTAATAAGCTAATAAAAAGATTTTTCCGTGACCAGATTTATTTGATTTTGGCCTAACATTTAATTTAATTAATAATATTCCTAAGTCTATATTTGGGAATGAATTTAAAATTTCAATGAATGAAAGAACGAGAAATGCTTTATTGAATATACTTAAATTATAAATTTCACAAAGTATAAAGAACATTTATACGGCATGATTATTCGTCTGCCCGAAATTTTATCTCTTACAGGTACAGTACAAATAAAGACTTTATAACAATTACATATACATGAATAACTGATAAATACTAAAACCACAAATACAAATATAACATAAGAAATATATTGAATAATTTATATCTAAGAAATAATATTAAAGGGAAATAAAGGAAATCATAGACAATAACATTAATAAAACTGACTACAAATAAATTAGACGGATCATTGTCTATGCTGGATGTAACAAATTAAAACGGTGAATCCACGCATGCCAAGTAAAACTGACATTCGTTCACAGAGAGGGATTTAGAAGAGAAATTAAGATATTTCGAACCGGGCAAGTTCTGAGAAATTCGATACGAATTTGACTGAGCATTGAACATTCAGTCAAAAAATTGAACACATCTTTACTGGTAAGTTATAGAGTGGACAATATGTATATTCCCTGTCAAGCCATAAGGTGCAATTCAAATTAAGGAGTTCACACCTGAACTTGAACAACCAACTCAACTCACGCCCGATCAAATCCCAACTGCAACCATCCACGAATTTCAAATTTTTAAGACCATGACTCAATTCCCTATACAATAGAAATCGATCAGAATTCAATGCCGCTAATTTACACTTTTCCCAATGTTGCTCAGTGATTGCATAACGTATTGTTGCCAACTGGTCTTTCCATAACGAAAAGCATTCCAAAGACCTCGAAATATTGCATATCGCAATAAATATTTGTTTTTTGGCAGATAGTGGGATCAGATCTTGACCAATGAAATTTGACCAATTATTATCAAGTAATTGTTGAGTTCTCCCGTCTAAAACCAGTTTGGTATTGACTGCGAAGTTCATTCTCCGTGACAAAAGTTTCCAAACGTAGCAAAAGAAGACCAGTAAATATTTTCGAAGATGCATTAAAAAATGATATACCCTTATAATTATGAACATTATTGATGTCACTACGTTTAGAAAGAGGAAATAGTATAGATTTGTCAAAGGAAGCCGGAGCTTCGCCTGTCTCATGAATTTGATTATAAAGAGAAAGAAGTTTATCCAAAAATACAACGAGTGCTTTTTTGTAAAACTGAGATGATATCCAATCAATGCCCGGCGTTTTGTAATTCTTTAAATTACTAATCACTACTTGCAATTCACTTAAATCAAAAGGAAGGTATAGAGAAGTCGAATCAACATATGGTTCAGCATGAAATACAAGTCTACCATCACCAGAAGGGTTAAGCAAATTTTGAAACGGGGAAACTTAATTGTAGAATTCGATATTACCAAAAGCAAAGTTTCTTCGTTTAAAATGATTAGTCAAGTGCCAAAATTTCTTAGAATCTTTTACATTTTTAAGTCTTTTGGTTACCGTATTAAGATGTTCCTTTTTCTTTTTTAAACATAAATCCTTATAAGTGTTCTTCGCTTTCACATAATTATGCTTGACGATAGTGGACTTAGTTCGACAAAAAAGATTAAACAAGACAAACGACTTATTTCTTGCGTATGGAGAATATTTATTAAAAGAGAAGAGCTTCTAATACAATCAATTAATATGCTTCAAACTCTTTCAGAGTCAGAAGGAAAGAATGAAATTTCCTCAATCGCTAATATCATGGAATATATATATATCATGATATTAGCGTACATTACATTATAATATTATACTTAATATACCTACATTATATTCTGGAGTGTCTATAAATGAGATCTCATAAAAAACCGGCAAATGATCCAAAAATGGTTCTGCTAAAATTCTGAAATCAACAATTTATGAAATATAATCAATTGGAAAACAAATAAAATCAATTACAGATTTATCCATACTATTACTGAAGGTGAATTCAACTTCGATATCATTAAATCTACTATTTAAAATTATGAAATCATGGTCATCACACAGTTCTAATATTTTGGAACCTCGGCCATTAATTACCCTATCAACAGATTTCCTAGACAGGTTACAATTAGGATTATGCGAAATTCAAAATTAAATCAGAGGGTAGAGACTGAGAATCTGCAATCCTAGCATCGAAGTCTCCGTCTAAAACAAATGTTAATGTGTGATTTTTTTACAAGTTAAAATTTCAATAAATAAGTTTATTATAATTGAATGGCCCATTTCAGATTAAAAGTTTAGACACTTCATGGCTCAGGTTTTTATTTGCCTTATTCCAAGACCAAAGAAGAAATATTACTCAAGAAAATAATCTAACAAATACTCTGAATCAATAAACTGTATAAAAGAAGATTCTAATTTAATCTTCTACTATACAGTTAATTGTTATTTAATTTTTCTTTTAACGTGATCAGTTTTAATGATGTACAATTGACCAACATTAAAATTGTTGGAACTCAGTAGACGCGGAATTTGATCCTCAACAACTTTTATTCTATGAGTTTTTTCTCTTATAGAACTCATTTCCAATCTGCAGACCCATTTATAGTAATTAAGTACTTTGTTTCAGTTTTTGACGAATTTAGTAAAAATCAGCATTCGTTGTCCATGGTTATCGACCAAAACACATAATAAAATTTTATGTTTAGGTACTCGTTCGACGCTGAATTGAACGTTATTTCATTTCTTCAGAGTACGTTTTCCGCTTTAATCCACCTTTTAGGAGTTATAGGTTAAAAAACAAAAAAAGACCGGAAAAATCCGACTTTTTTTTGGATATAAAAAGTTTTCCCTTGGTGACCCGAGGTAGCAATTTTATTTTTTATATTTCTAAACCCATATATACAAGCTTAAAAAATAAAAACTTTTGCTTATTTTTCGCAAGGAACATACGTTTCGATCATCCAGTTACTGGCTCAATATTCTTTAAATCAGCCCCCATGTTTACAAGTAACAAGATCCGACAGGCAGACTCTCAATATTTCAACATAAATGTTATCAATATTAAAAAAAAAGTCTTCAAAATTTTCTTCAGATATGTCGATCATTTTACACGTGCTCTGGAAACCAAAAGACTGTCCTGGCAACCCTGGGGAGTACCTGTTTATATGTTTATGGTTCTAAATAGTACACAAACCTAGCCAGTTGATAACCACCTCTACAATTCATAACACGTGGGGTTTGTTGTTGTCTGTGTTCTAGTTTTAAATTCGACTGTTGGAATAGGACTCTTTCGAATATAATTTTAGGATGGTAGTTTTTACATGTCAGCATTGCAACGCATCGTTGAAAAGGGTTGCAGTAGCGAAACATTACTCCAAAGCTTGTAGAAATACACCTCACTTAACATGTATTGACTGTCTAAAAGATTTTCAGTAAGTACTTGATGTTTAACTCTTATATGTATTTTTTTTTATCATCACATATGTTTACAATATTTTTACAATATGCTTACAACACCCAGCTGTTGTTTACGATATTTTACAATCTTTGATTTATGGATCAGGTTGTTTTCTATGACATGTGAGATTTTTTTGGTTTTTAATTATTAGCCCTGAAATTAAATTGATTGATATTCTTTTATGACAGGGTAAGTGACAAAATTATTTTTTTCTGTTGCACAGGTTAATGCAATTTAGTTTTAACTTTTTAAAAAGAGTAAGCTTGGTTACTGAAATGTTTATTCATGGTTACTCCATTGAAAGCAATTTTAGTTGATCACTTGAGAAATTGGCATTGATTGTTTTCTAATCCATTTCCAATCTTAATTTTCCTGACTCTTTACTCTCAGATTGATGGACTTCTGTCTTACGTTATTGTGTTATACTATCTCAGATCTTATATTATAAATTTTTGTGGTTTATTTGAAAAATACCTCAACACACAATATATATTGGCTCCTTGTCAACGATTACATGACTACTTACTGAAGCATAGGTGGCAAACCATGGCCTCGGAGGCCGTATATGACCTCTGTAAGGTAGTTGCGGTTTCGGAGGCCAACTAACCTCTTTCCAAACATTTTTGTGCAAGATTTATTAATCTAATACTTTAATTAATTACTATATAGTTATTTATGTATTTATTTGTATATATATTAGTTGAATGTATGTATGTGGCTATGTTTATTTAGTGATATATAAAAATAGAAACGGTAAAATGTAAAGAATTTATGCGGCCTCCATAAGTACTGCCTAACCTTATTGCAGCCTCTAATGATAAAAAGGTTTCCCACCTATGTACCAGAGTAACTGTAGAGACTTTAAAGATATAGCCTCAACTTTGCTCTAAAACATATGAAGGTTACTTAAGAGAAAGAAGTTATAGGAGAGATCCTCTTTCTCAATTATTTCTATATTTTATGATCAAATCTCGGCAGGGTTGTCACTGGGTGTTTTCTTTCTTATTGATTTTTTTTTTTTTTTTTTTGGCTAGAGTACTTTAATGTTCGATATTGACAGAAGAAATTGATTTTCTTCTTATTTTCTCAAATATTCTTAATGGTTTATATATATATATATGTATCCTATTGCATGTAGGTAGTGATATAAGTATTTTCTCTTATATTCTATTTCATAATTTGGAGCAGTTTGTACTGAATATCAAGGTTAAGCTCACATTGCACTAAGTTGAAACTAAACTTTTTTTTTTCTCTACCCTCTAATTTTATTTATATTATCATAATATTTGTTTACTAATATACATAGATAATTAGAGAATGATACTGCATTCCTGTAAGATAATTAAGTAGGTATATATTGTTGCTTTATTGCTATTGTCATTTAGTTACATTTCATAAAATTAATTCACTAAGTACTGTGAAATCAGAACCTTGTAAAAATATCATAGACCTTTATCCAGTTAAAAAATAACAAGAATATCTTTTCTTAAAGCTTAATATTTATGGAGCGGCATAATGCAGGCTTCAATAAATAAATTATGGTACTGTTCAAGTTTATTTTGAATAGTTGAGATACTTATTAACGATTGAAATTATACAATTTTCAATAATTAATAAAAGAAAATTATTATTATTATTATCTCTTTATTACAAACAAATTATTTGACATGAACAAAATAAATAAAATACCAATGGAATAGTAATTGATGCCATCTGACGAAAATTTTAAAATGAATTTCTGAATTTGTTTCTTACAACCTAATTTCCTATCGTTTATAATAAGAAAATGATCATTCTACATATGTGATAAAAGCAAATTTGTATCCATTTAAAATTATTTGCTTGTTTTCCATAGAAATTTGTTTTCAACAATGGATGTAAATATGAACCTTTCTATGAGTTTTAAAAATGGTTTTATCTTTGAAATCATAGGATCAAGTAATATAATTTGAAGAAAATTATACACTTTATAAATTATAAAAATATAACCACTTATAAAAAAAGAATGATATTCAAACTGAGTTTGGAGTTTAGAAGCTACAGGAATAAGAAGAGGGAGGAGAGAAAAAAATGGAAATGGTAAAATCCAAATTCTAAAAAGTCAATAACTGAATGTAGCATTATTTTGTTATTTTTATATTAAAAATCATCCTTCAATTCTATTATGAAATTTCATCTTTAAAGTTCCATTTGAATTCATTATTTCTAATTACTGTTATTATTATTTTACTTAAACTAATCAAAATATGCAATTATCTGGATTTATGATCAAATATGTAAAAATATGCATTATAAAATTTGATTAATTGCATCTGGACATCCTGATTCGTATAGATATTTGATCAATACTTTAAAACTGCATCCAAACAGAATATACATTTACATAAAATTCCAGGCCTTGCTCATAACTAACAAAACTAACAAATGTACTATTAATTCATACTGTAAACTAAACCATTATATTTAGCTGGAGTGATGTAAATAGAACCTTGTTGAAGGTTTCTCATTTGAATTTAGAAGACATTTATTCAAGAACTCAAACATTTTTCATCTCTAAATAAGGTCTAAATTCACAAAAATGTATAAAAACTTTAGATTAATCACAGATTTAGTTAGTGAATTTGAGCGATAAACTGATGATATTTCTTGTAAAGTGAAGAAAAAGAATAACATTAATTTCAACTTAGTACGATACTAATGATGTAGAGATGGTTGACCGTTGATATAATATGAGAAGGAGTTAGTCGAGGGTGCGTTCAAATAAATAATAAATTAAAATATATTGGCCAATGCCAGTGTTTCAACTGTCTCCCGCAGTGCTACATCCTACGCCCTGAAGACGACCTGCAAAGTGGGTCGAAAAGTCGGCAAAAATTAAAACAATTAATATATTTTAATTTATTATTTATTTAACCGCACCCTCGACTAACTCCTTCTCATATTATATCAACGGTCAACCATCTCTACATCATTAGTATCGTACTAAGTTGAAATTAATGTTATTCTTTTTCTTCACTTTACAAGAAATATCATTAGTTTATCACTCAAATTCACTAACTAAATTTGTGATTAATCTAAAGTTTTTATACAGTTTTGTGAATTTGAACACTGGCATTGGCCAGTGTTTCAACTGCCTCCCGCAGTGCTACATCCTACGCCCTGAAGACGACCTGCAAAGTGGGTCGAAAAGTCGGCAAAAATTAAAACAATTAATATATTTTAATTTATTATTTATTTGACCCCATCCTCGACTAACTCCTTCTCGTAGTACAATACTAGTTTACCCTCAGGTTGCCATCTAAGTGAAAGCGAGCAATACCTTTTCTTAGTTAACTGTAAATTGTATTGAAATACTTATAGGAAACCAATGCATTAATAACTTGTAGGATTAACTTTAGAAGAGAAATTATATTTTAATATTATTAATAATAATAAAAGGCTTAGCGAACCCGAAGGTTCGAATCCGACACCACCAATTGCTTATTACACACCTCCCTCCATCTTTCCCCGTCCAAACCCAGTAGCTTCAGATCGGCTTTAATGCAATCTTCCCACCTTCGCTTCGATCTACCCCTCAGACGCTTACCATTCGGCACAGCAAATATTAACCTTTTAGGAATTCTCTCGTTACTAAGCCCAACAACTTTACAAGCCCATTTGATTCGCCGCGATGAAATTACCTCAATTATATTACCCGGATAGAGTTCACGCAATTCAGCGTTGCGTAACCATCTGAACTCTCCAGTTAACTCATCCTTCTTCGGTCCGAATATTCTACACAATACTTTATTTTCAAAAACCTTAAGACACTGCTCATCCCTTAATGTAAGCGGCCAAGTTTCGCATCCATAAAGAACTGTAAGCAAGATAATTGTTTTATAGATTCTAATTTTTAAGTTCCGGGACAAGAGGCGTGAACTAAGTAGTTTTGTCACAGAAAAATAACAAGCATTTCCCGCCTTCAGTCTAACCTTAATCTCTTCTTCAATTTCATTTTTTCTAGTTATCGTAGAACCTAGATACCTAAATTTATCTACCTGTTCAAACATATTACCCTCTATATCGATATTACCAGTAGTATCACCATTTTTGCTGTTAACCATGTATTTTGTTTTATCCATGTTTATTTCGAGTCCTAGTTTTTTACCGGCTTTCATTAATGTTGTCGTATTTAGTTTTATAGTTTCAACGTCTTCGCTTAACAGTACCAGATCATCAGCATAGCCCAGCACGGATGTTGTCCCACCCAGATCATCCAACCCTTTCTCGGTACGCATTACCTCCCTAATGGCATGTTCTAATGCCAAATTGAACAGGACAGGTGAAAGGGAATCCCCCTGTTTTGAACCCAAATGAACCTCAAATTTTTCCGACAGATTATTACAGATTCTAACGTTATTGAGTGTCTCCGTCAAGCACATCCTGACTAGATTTACTAGTTTTTTTGGAATTCCCTGCTCGATTAGAATATTATACAGTTTCTGGCGGTCAATAGAATTGTAAGCCTTTTTAAAATCTATATACAGCTGGTGAACAATACCGTTGTACTCCAATTTTTTCTCTAATATTTGCTGTAAAGAAAATATTTGATCAATAGTTGAACGATTCCGTCTAAATCCGCATTGGTATTCTCCGATAATTTTCTCGGTGTATTCCGTGATTCGACTGGTTAAGATTAAAGTGAATATTTTATAACATACCGGAAGGAGTGAAATTCCTCAATAGTTATTACAATCGTCCTCGGGCCCTTTTTGTGAATCGGAATAAGAATAGATTCGTTCCATTCTTCAGGTAATTTCTCGTTCACCCAGATTTTTTTAACCAACCGATGTATTTTAGAAACTCCAGTTTCCCCGCATGCCTTAATTAGTTCAGTAGGAATATTATCGGTTCCTGCTGCTTTATAAGATTTTAATTTTCCAATAGCTACTTCAACTTCCTCTTTACTTGGTCCTTCTATTAACGGTTCAGCACTCTGGTACTCAGAAGGAGGACACAGATCATAATTTTCCGTATTTAAAATATTGTCAAAGTGGTCCTTAAACTTTTTCAATATGTCAACCGGATCGGTCAGAATATTGTTATTATCATCCCTAATTCCAGACGTTACGGGCCCTACACATTTACGTGATCTGTTTATGCCTTTGTACATGTCTCTTACGTTATGTTCGATTTATTAGTTTCTATTTCAATTATTTTATTTTTAAGATAATCCCTTATTTTATTTTTGAGCAATTTTGTCGTTTCGTTCTTTGAGGTTCGGAAGTATTTCAGATTGATTGATTTAATATTACTCAACATTTTTTTATTTGATTTCAGTGGTGTTGACTACAATTCTCATATGACTTGTGTTACTGAAGATGAGAGATATGGAGACAAAAACTTTGTTGCAAAGAAAACGGGCGTTAAACAAACAGAATGGATTGATGTTGTACACTTGTGCGCTAAAAAGAATGAAAATGTAAAGTTCAAGTTTATCTTTTACAAACTTGCCAGTTACCAAAATGTACCTAGAAAGAAAGCAAAGTTTTTGGTAAGTTTAAATTCTTTTTTTAATTTTATAGAGTTTGTTTGTATGAGTTTTATATGGACATAGTTAAGGGAAGGAAGTGATTAAAGTAATCAAAAATCATATTGTAAAATTAGAAATTTTTGTTGGAATATGAAATGAAAATAATTTTATTATCCTGAGACTACTGTCCCTAGAAAACAAGTCATAAAGTAAAGAATAGTAAAGGTAATACAGGAAGAAAGGAGAAAAAAAACATACATATTTATAAAACAAACATGGAAAGGTAAAATAAATAAACAAAATAGTATCTGGGGGTATTTCGAGAGTTCTCAATTTTAAAAACCAATGGTATTCAATTTATTTGATTTCACTTAAGTACATGTATATACCAGTATATTTACAAAACTTATTCATATTATATGTTGTTAGATGAGAAATATGTTGTGAAACTTTACTCTATCTATCGTTAAATCATATACTCAAGTTAATCAGAACTGGCCTGGAAAAAAAAAAAAAAAAAAATTAGAACATAACAAGAAAAATTTAATAAAATTTTTTGTTCAGGATGGGAAAAATAAGAGAGGTAGTGAGCCGAAAACAAGTTTTAAGAAATTCACACATTTGACTAGTTTATTGTATGGAAATGTTTAAAGCTTATACTTATGCATGTGCACATCCCTACCGGGCTGATTTACCATAAATCCGTAACCTTCTTTTATAAACATAGGTTGGTTGCTTATTGAAATATTTTGTCATCAGTATTCATTTTCTATATCTGTGTTTGAGGTGTTTTAAAAAGAATGAAAAACGAAAGCTTAAAACAATCTTTTGGAATTAAAATTAATCATTGCTATTGTGTTTATACTGTGGAGAAACTTCTATTACTTTGGTCTTGAGGTTTAATGTAGGTTCTTTCATATATCAAGCTATGATGAAGGTGGTACAAGATAATGGTCCATACAAGTGGCTATCCATCTCTCAATGTAACAGTTTGTGAGTGGAATTTATCAGGAACATTCTCTACACATTCCACTTTCAGATCTCATTTTGAAGGAAAAAACCTACTTACAATTTGATAGATTTTATGGCTAAATTATTTAAAAAAATACACCGTATCTGTTATCCTTTCTTGAACAGGAGAGAGACTATCAAGTGGCAAACAGTGTAAGCATAAAGTCATTTAAAATTACCAAGTTTTTTATGAGAGCAGTCTTACAGTCTTGTTAGTTTTGGAATAGTTCCGCCTGACCCAAACTAGTGGCCTCTCAGGGCGAACTCGAAAAGGGGTACATTTATGATATATGTTATTCTGTTTCCTTTCCACTTCACCCACCTGATCAAGGTCATTGCTTTTAAAGTAGACAGTTGTATCCAAGATCAGCACTGTCCTTTCCCTCTTGAAAAATGCAACAGTATCCTGGTTGAGCCTTTACTGTCGATGCAGTTAAGCTTGTCAAATCAGATGAATTTTTTTTTTCTTAATGAGCCTTAACATCTCAAATTTGACTCTATGGACCATTTAACAGCCTGGTCATTCCCGAAGCCTGTGAGGACCACACACATTTTTGGTTGCTGGTAAGCTTGTATGTGTAATGCTTGGAAAATTCTTGAACACTGAAGGCAACAAGGGGCCTTAGGGTACTTCTAGCCACACTTTGATCTAGCTCATCGAGTGGGTTCCAAGTGAGTTCCGACTCCAATCTTGATTTGATTAGAGCCCAAGTGAGCTGATATCGCGTTTTTAAGGTCTGGTGACACCCCTCTCACCTCTAGTGAGCTGATAAGATGTTTCGTGATCAATTTTGTCAAAAGCGTTGACAACATCAAGAAATACCACCTCACAATCATTCCTTTTATTTTTTATTTATCGGCCCAAGACTTCCATTGAAATCCTATACTATCCCATTCTTCTCTACTATTCTCATTTATTCTTGGCATCTTTTATGATCACGTTGATGATTCTCGCACTCATATGTGCTCCTGGCAGACAGACTGTTGACGACGTACCTCTGGTTTTTGCTGAAGGTGATCTGTTTTCTCAATTCTTGATCCAGGACCTTCTCAATGATTTGGTTCAGTATTGGATAAATTGTAACGATTTTAAAATATTAAAAAGCTCTACTTGTGACTCTTTTATACTAGAAGAAAACATCATTATGATATTGAAAACTAATTCTCAAAGATATGTTTTTTTCCCTGTGGTAATGGCTAAAAACTTCAAAAGGAAAGTACTCTGAGAAAATACTTCCCCACCATTATTCCTGGTTAGCAGCAAATTTGTAGAACTTGATTTCTGGTTCTCCCAACTACTCACTGGACACTTAAATAAAATAAAATAATACTCACTGGACATAGGAGGTTACGAACAAAGCTCTTTTAACTTAAAAATAATATTGGTTCCTTATCCCCCAGTTGCAGAGTATAAGAGAATGCTTAGAACATTGTTGCTGTCTGTACTGTGCATATAAAGGATTAACGACAAAACTACGGGTGGAAACAGGTCTCTATATTTTGGTAGTGTGCAATTTCCCTCAGCTAACAATAGATTCAGCCCCCTGTGCAAACTTTTGCTTATTTTAAGGAATCATACTTAAATCATATTGTTTTCATTAATTATGTTTCATAAGTTAACGTTTTTTTAGTATATTAGCTTGGTTTGCCCTAGATGATCTCTTTATATACTTAATTTATCTCATGATATGATGAAATAATTAAGGTTTTTCTCTTTTTTAGAACTTCATTAAGTCATCATTGCCAAAATTTTCTCCAGATATAGCTGTTGAAGTTTTTCAAATTATTGATGAAGAATTTGTAAAACAGAAAAAAAAAGACTCTCAAAATGAAAATAATGACAGTAAAATTGTAAAGAATACTGATGAGCAAATTAGTGATGCTAAAGAGAATACGGGAAAAAGTGGTGAAAAGAAAAAGAATAAAAAAAGAAATCGTAGTATTGAGAGAGAAGCTCCGCCAGCTGAAGATACTGACATAAATGTTCCTACTGAAAAAAAGTCCAAGAAAAAGAAATTAAATAATATGAAACTACAAGAATTAGAATTTGCAGGTGACATGGCTACACTATTTAATATCAAAGTTAAAAACAAAAAAGATACAAATAAAAATGGATTTCTAAATCAAACTAGCGAGAGTGTTGATGAACAAGAAAATCACCTTGCAGGTAACCAAAATGGTATTGAGAGCCATGAAGAACCCCATGAAACTGATAATCATGCAAAATTATCAAAGAAGGAATTGAAGAAACTTAAGAAAAAGCAGAAGTACGACGCAGAATTGAAAAATATCGAAGAATCTGAGTCTACTAAAGATGAAGTATTTATAAATGAAGAAAATGATCAAGACTCATCAAAACCAATTAAAAAACAAAAGAAGAGAAAGGCTACAGTCAATGAAAGCGAGAATGGTGGAGGGAAAAAACAGAAAATCGAAGGTCAGTTGCCTAACCAACTTTAATTAATTTATTTACTTTGTATGGTTTGATTACTGTTTATTTCAAACTTGTCTGTGTGTGTTGGCCTATTTGCACACTTGTTTGTGTATTGTTTATTCTTTCTGATACTTCTTTTAGTTGTATATTTAAAAAAAAATTGTTTGAAAATATTAAATTGTAAATTATATATGTATATATATATTGCTATGTTCCTGGCTTCGCGTTTCTAAGGCGAGTAGGGTGGTTCCAGGAGCCTCATTTATTTGTATTTATAAGTATTTATTATATTTATATTTGTATTTATATCGGTTCCAAAAGAGAACTGATCAATTGAAAGATACATGAATTATGTATTTAAAGGTTAGATACCACAGACCCCCTACTGTAGTATCCTAGATTAAACCATATAATTTGTATTGAATTTCTTTTCTAAAGGTATCATGTTTATAAATTTACTATTTGTTTTTATAACTAATTGGTGGCATGCAAGGTAGATGGTAAACTTAACAAGATGGTTTACTAACTAATATATTTACAAATTTAAATAAAGCCAAAACATATATACACATTGAATAGTAGAGAATCATACTAGAGGAGAATGCTATTTTTCGATTTGCCTGATTAAAGTTACTTATGATCTATTTATTCTATTAATGATTGAGGATTGCCAACACAAGTTACATATGTACAACTAAATGAGGGTTATTACTTAGCTGGTTCTCCATTGTGAGGGGGAGGGTTGCCGGTGTCTCTAGCTGTCATCTCTGATTCCCTGTCCCTGCTGCTCCTTCAGCCTCTGTCTTCTTCCGTGCTCTCTGTGCCTCTCTCTCCCTCCAAAGCTTTTTTCCAAGTCCTTATTTTCCACCTTTCTGTCGTCCCCCTCTCTTTTTTAGTAGTAGTAGTTTTTTAGGTAGTTTTCTCTGATTGGCTGAATTGTCCTAGAATAAGGGATGACCATGCCCCCAGGCCGTACTATGGCAGGTATACCTCCGTTTATTTTCTTTCTCGAAGATGTTAATGTTAATTGAAATCCTATTTAAACATTCAGGCCTTAGACTGTTGGCGGTTCTTAAGTGTTTCCTGTAAGAGCGGTGTCGGTCCTTTGGGGTTCTTAAGTGTTTCTATTGCCTCTTAAAAAAAGTTGCACTCAATCTTGGGTCGTTAGCCTCGCTCAGGTACCCAACCACCCAGGTGTTAGCAATTATCTTTAGAATATATTTATTCATTTGAAATAATTAAATAAATTCCACAGGCGATATTTAGAATACATAGCAATATATGTGTATATATATATATATATATATATATATATATATATATATATATATATATGTGTGTGTGTGTGTGTATGTATATATATATAAATTTATTAATCCTTGTATATAAGTGTATTATTAAATCTCATGAGTAATATCTTGTTTGAGTTTTGATTAATAATTTGCTACTTTTGTTTTATCGAGTTTTTCACTGAATTACATTTTATGAAGTTTTCTTTATACATGCTTATTGTAAAGTTGCAATATAGCTATTACTGTGATAGGTTGATAGACTAATGTTCCATGTTACTTTCTGGCAAATAGTCGATTAGGGGTTACATTTTTGTGATCTCTTGTTAATTAAAAAAAACAAAACAATTCTGACCATTCAACCAAACCTTTCATTTTTTTAAATTAATATGTGCTTATCACATGTTATATATGAAATTTTATGTAAGAACCATTTAAGCCACTGACATATGTTGTTTTAATACTGAATGACAGTTAAAAAGTATTGTTCAATGAAGAAGAAATTGGCTTAACTGTATGATTTTTATCAAGGTTTTAAGTGGTCTATCTTAAAGAATACATTTCCAACAAAAAGTATTCGGAAAAAAATTGACGTGATTTATAATATTTCAAAGTTTCATTTTCAATTTGAATAAGTTTTAATGTACTTTGTTTATTATTTTCATTTAGTTTAATTTTTATGTTATTTTAAACGATTATAATTTAAATGATAATTAGTTTTGATCACACTGCTTTCACTTACCACTCTACTTTCAGTAAGTAAAAATTATTTTTTATAAAAATATGTCTTAAAATATCACTTCAATAATAATACAAACTTAGAGAAATCAGTATAATTTATGGCAATTCTTTGCACTTGATGTAAGGATTTAAATTCAAAATCAAAACTGCTGTTATTGAGAAAATGATAAAATTGATAATAAAAAGTTGCTGTAACATCTGAGGCATATGTTAGTGTTCTCTTTTTGTTTTTATGCTGTGTATGCTTGCACACATATAAACAAATCTGTCTGTGATACTTGGTTCTTGATATTTTGACTCAGAGGACTTTGAGAAATATATTTCCATTGAAAAATCAAATTCAAAATTTTATCATGATTAAAATACTTTCCCTTACTGTAAATTTTGTAAAAATGGTGTAAATTAAGTATAAACATACAATCTCAAGGTTTGATATTGTCTCTTCATAACTGTTTCATTATTTGGTTTATCTTTTTTTTTTTTTAGGCAATGAAGAATCTGAAAATTGCTTTGTTGAAAATGAAATTAATGTAGAAGAGGAAAAACCTCAGCAAGGGAAAGTTAGATTTAACTGGGAGGAAATAATTAAAGAAGTGCTTCGTAAAAATCCTGATCATGAAATGTCACTGAAGAAAATTTCAAAGAAGGTTCTTGCTGAGTACCAATCTGTGAAAGGTGATAGGGAAACCTATGAAGAGCTAATTTCAAAGTTTAATAAAAAAATAAATAAAACAATTGGTGTAAGAGTGCTTAAAGACAAGGCAAAATTGTTACCCGAAGACTAGTTATTTTGCTTGAGGCTTTGAGTTGAAAGCAATATAATTTTGTTATAATGTTATGGAATCTTATTTTATTTTATTTTTTTAAGTTTCCACTATGTACATAAAAGCGTAATGTATAATAAAAGATTATTTTAACGAACAGTTTTTTCTGATTTTAATTTTACACCATGTTTCATATGTTTTCAATTGATAAAAAGTTACCTTTTATTATTAACTAGTGTTCGCCCAGTTGGCGGGTCGAAATTCGACCATAGCCATTAGAAGTTTGAGAAAACATAATTAAATAAAAAATAAATTCAATAAATAAAAAGTAAATCATGATTCAAAAATCCTCATTTATTAATATAAACAAAATTTCAATTTCAATTCAAAATCGAGCTTAAAATTATTTATAAGTAATACAAACTAGACTCATTCAAAATATTTAATTTCCATATTAATTTATGTGTGTTATTATCACAATTAATTAATGTTATGACTAAGCAAGTAAAAAATAAATTTAAATTAGCAATTTCAACCGAGTTTAAATCCATTTTTACGCAGAACTTCTCCGTAAACAATGCTCTTTTTGAATGATCTGTCATTGTTTAGTACATAGTCTTGTCCTTTGCCATTGGAAGTATAAACTTTAAAATTTTAAATGAACGCGCTTTACTTACTGCCACATATAATTTTCCATGCGAAATTACTTTGATCCTGCGATTTGATTTTAGTCATAGCAAATGCAGCTATTAATAAGAACGTTGTTCTTTGAAATTCGAATTGAAGTATTGTGTCAGAAAATATTAAATTAATTCTTGGAATTGAAATTCTTTTATTTAAAGTATTTCCCGTCTGTGCTTCACTCTCACTCCTATTCCATTAAATAATGCTTGTGCAGTATTTAAGTTAAGAATGAGAATAACTACAGAATTTTTTTTAAAATTTAAATTATGAGGTAACGTTCCACTAACATTCAATGATGTCATCTCTTCAAATAATTGTCCTGATCACTTTATTGAATTTAAAGTTTTCAATTTAACAAAAACCAATATAGAGGAAATCGACTTAGCAAAAGAAAAAGTACTAAATGTTTAAAATGATATATCTCTGCAACAAATAGTCCGAATTCAGGATAATTGTTTTCGGGAAGGTATGTTATATAAATAAATTATCAATGTTTCAAGGATTATAATTATAATTATAAACTTTAGCCATGGATACCAAACCACTCTATTAAAATCTTTTTAGCTGCTTTTCACTGAAAAACTCAACTCCTCATGATTTTCTTTTAATTCAATGTTTGTATGACCGTTGGAAAGCTGAGTTGTTATTCTCTAAGCCTATATTAATAAATTTTATATTTAATGCCCTCATAAGGAATAAAGAAAGAAAAACTACAAACAGGTTTTTATTTTTTATCTCCACACCTAATTTATTTACGGACCTCTGGTTTATGTCATTTCATATATATTATAGGGCACCAAGTGCGTGCAAATTTGTGTTTAGATAACGAGCTATATCAAAGTTGTGATAAATTTTGTGATTTAAAAAAAAAAATTAAGGCCTCTACCTTGAAAATTTTTATTTGCAAAAATTTTTTAATGCAAAAAATTTTTATTTTTCTATTCCAGTGAAAATTGTAATTGGAGGTTTATGCGAAATACAAATATTAACTTTGTTCCTCCTTAAAAAAATATTTGAACCCACTTTACTCCTACGGCCGCCACAAATTCTTTCATTTCGGAGATAATTCTTACCAATTTCGATGATTATTTATTTTTTTTTATTTTGTAGGAAATTCAGGATGCTTTCAAATAAATATTGGTATTATCGATAGAAAAATGTGTACTGTTTGAGTTTCAGTAGTTTATTCGCAAATAAAATACTGAATTCATCATATAAATTTATGCAGCTTGTTTTCGGGAAAGTATGTTGCATGCATAAATTATAAATGTTTCAAGGGGAAGACTTTAGCCAAGTTTCGTTAAAATCGTTAAAGCCATATTGGCGCTACAGTCTATAGTGAATCACGTTTTTTGGCTGCCTTTTCGAAAGGAAAGGCGTGATTATAATGAAACGTATAAAAAAAGACTTCTGAATATTATTGCAACGTTGTGTCAAAATTTCAAAGAAATCGGTGAAGAACTTTTGGAGATTAGCTGTTTTGAATAAACTACCATTTATATATTTATTTACAAACTATTTGATATGTTTATTCATTGATAACATGAAAGCTCTTCAATAGCTATTAAAAAAAAAAAAAAAAGTAAGAAAATCGGTTGAATTGTAGAGGAGAAAAAGGGGCTGAACCGTTTTGTGTTTGCCTATTTATATAATGATTAGTTCTGACATATATATATATATTTTTTTTTTTTTGTATAATTTTTTAGCTATAACTTTTTCCCACAGAAATTTATAGTTGAAGGTTTTATAAAAATTTTGTTTTTTAATAAAATTATATGAAAATTCTGTTGAAGACATTCATTTTGCCAAAAATTAAATTAAAAATTTCTCATTTAACTTTTTTTAAGTTCTTAAGAAAAAAAAAAACTTACACTAAAGCCAGAATTTTTTTAAAATCTTTAAACCTGTTGAAATGGAACTTTGTAAAAAAGTTATATAAAAATTTCAATCCCTGCTTCACACTTTTAAAATTTCAATCGGCGCGACAACTCGATATTGAGTCTTGGCCTCCTGTACCAGCCTCCACCAATTGTTCCTATCCTGCCCAGCCGCCATCCAGCTCCTCACTCTCAACATGGACCTGGCATCACCAGCCACACTGTCACTCCACCGATGCCAAGGTCTTCCTCCGTGCATTACTTCTGTCATGATTTTTTTTGGAATGTGATTCTCATCCATTCCAGCGACGTGCCCATCCCATCCCGTGTTTTATACAATAGGAGTTTTGTTCCTCTGGTTAAGGCACTGCTCCTAAAGTATGGACTGAGGTCATATAATTTATAATAGCAATATAAATATATATAAACCATATAAATTTGTAATAAAAACGATAGGCACCTAGCACTCTTCGCCTAATTTCAGAATTTACAACATTATCATGAGTTATGAGGGATCCGAGATAAATAAATTCTATAAACACTTTTTCTATGGAGAATTCTCCGATGGTTATCCTTTCGCCCGGTCTGAGATTTTCCTCAGTGACCATATATTTGGTTTTTGCAGCGCTAACTTTAAGGCCAATTTTTCTTGTTGCTTCCACTAGTTTCAAGAATCCATCAGAGATTGCCTGGAAAGAGCAATGTCCGTATATGCATAAGCAAGAAATTGCACTGTCCGGCTGAATATTGTTCTGTCCTCTTGAACACCAAAATCTCTAATGGACTCCTCTAAAGGGATTCCGAGCTCAGTCATTGCTTCCTTAAAATCAACAATAAGATGATGTGTTTTAAGCTTATATTCACGTCCTGTTTCAAGCATGATGCACAAGAAAAATATCTGGTCAATGGTAGATCGTCCTTTCCGAAAACCACACTGTTGCAGGCCTAAGATCTTTCTGTGTAGGGGAATAGTTGTTGAAAGAGAATGTTGCACAACACTTTGTACGCACAAGAGAGTAAAGAGATATCTCTATAACTACCGCAGACTAGCCGATCACCCTTTTTATGGATTGGACATATTATTGATTTATTCCAAGATTCTGGCATTACTTTACCATTCCAGATCCGAGTCATGATATTCTGAAGGATTTTCAGTAATTCACTTCCTCCACACTTAAGTATTTCTGTAGGCAATTCGTCAACTCCTGAAGCCTTATTATTTTTAAGTTTCGCTAGAAAATTCAAAATTTCCTCTTTATCCGGCAGTTCTATTGACAATACTGTTGCTTCCAATTTCTTCCAAAAGATCTTTGTTAATAAGGCGAGAGAAATACCTCTTCCATTCCTCAAGAACATCCACCCCACTGTTTAGAAGTTAGTTTGCCACCTTTATTCAAGCAGTAGGTAGATTTGCTTAAAAAAGGTATTCTTTTCCGATTGACTACTTTGAAGAATTCCCTATTCTGCTTATTTCACCTAAGGAGTTCAGTCTTTTCCAATTCTTCCTTTTCCCATTTTCTTTTCTCATACTGGTGGAGACGTTTCTCCATTCGCCTCATCTGTCTATATAATTCGGCATTACTTCTGGTCTTGCACCTTGGCTTTATATGCTTCGTTCTTCAAACGCCTCTCTTCCACTCCTTGTCAAACCATGGAGATCTCGAATCCCTCTCTTGTGGTCCAAGCAGTTTAGTGGCTGTATCTGATAGCCTCTGAGTATGCAGTCCATGCGGTGTCGATGTCGCCCTCCAGAACATCAACCTGCCGAATACACCTATCCAGTTCCGATTCATATTGTGCGAGAATTATTGGATCCTTAAGCTTATTTAGGTCATATCACTTAGATATTTGTGCTGGTACGCTTACTTTCCCTAGCGCTATCCGTGCTTGGAAATGTGCGATGCTTAAAAAGTGATTGGAATTCACATTCACTCCTCTGAACACTCACTCGTTTAGAAGATTGGACATGTACCTCCTATCGATAAGGATATGATAGATTTGGTTCAGGTGAAGGGAAGATGATCCTAAGGTGTGTACTGTAGATGACCTAGTGTACAGTGTAATGTGTTTGTGTACTGTGTGTGTGATAGTGTAAATGTTTCTTCAACCTGTAGGGCCAGTGATTGGCTGCGGTACTAAGACCGTTAGGCGATGGGGTCACCACATCTCTACGCCAGTCTTATTTTATTAACTAATGATAAAAAACAGTTGCTTTGAGTCATGCACTGTTTTAGCCTGATTTGTTAGTTTTCAAGAAAGACAGTTTGGTTAGAAATGTAATGGCTGACTTATTTTTTTTACTGTTCCAAAGTTTAGGAATAAGATGGCTCAAGAAATATGCTCAAGATGAAGGGCATAGATCCTTTATATTTATTAAATTGCGTAAGCTCTTATTTTAATAAGAATAATTGGTACTGATTTGAAACAACTCTACCACTAGTTGTGTTTCCTTAACGTTTTCCTGAGCAATTGAATAATAAGTGTGTTTCTTAAAGCTTTTAAGCTGCCGTTTAATCCTTTAACTGCGGAATTTAAGGATGAATCATGCAGTATGGAAGATTTGAGACAAATTATGTACCCATCTTAAAAAGAATTGGTTGGG